TTCATAGTAGTCAACGTAAATACGTCACGACAAAAATGGATACGGTTATTTGTTCCGTCGCCTTTCGTCTACACCCAAAACAAAAAAAATGAAGTACCGTAGTAATCTTCACTGATAAATATATCGTTAACAAGCTTTGGATAGGCTTCAATTAATTTGATAGCAAGTTGATTATGAATCGCCGTTCCCTGCAGAAGACAAACACCAACCAGATTTTCACCCATCGCACCACGCTCGTCAAGTTTCCAGGTTACCTCTCGGTATTTCGACTCGCCTTTTCCTCCCTTGCCGCCTCCTTCCAACAATTTTAGAGCTGAATTAATTATTTTTAGCGTACGATGCATCACAATATTCACCATTTGGTGAATACATCTTAAAATTGAGCTATATAACTTTCACAAATTGTAGCATCCCTTCCTCCCCAGCACCTTGCTGCCGAGTTTTCAGTTATTGACTTTTTCGTCAGTAGCACTCAGTGCACCTAACGATAATGCGTTTTTGTTGTGCAGTGCTATAGCGCTGCTACAGTGAGCAAAAATGCAGATTGTCAAGAGATCGTCCATGCGTGTATGTATGTGTGTTCGGAAGCAAGTGAACCCTGTCAGCCACTTCAGCAACCAGAAAGGCTAGAAAGCTGAAATTTTGGGGCACATTCGCAGCCCATGTGTTGCCCTGCCGTTTTAAAATCATCACTCATACACACCTGGATCCCGCGTATGGACTCTGAAAATAATATGCTAATTTCTTTGGCTGGATACGATTTCACGAAACAGACAAGATAAAAAATTGAAACTCTACTGGGATTTTCTCTGTGCACGTATGAGCTAAATGTTTTAAATTCAGCTAAAGTGGCTGATAAGTCGGTGAACTGTAGAAACGAAAGTTACTGCATGTGTTGAAAAATATAACAGTTACAGATGGAAACAGAAGGCTCGTTACAACTGAGTTTGATTTGCTTTTCGCATTTCAAATACGTTGAGGGAACCACATAAATGTTCTGAGCGATTTCAGTGTTATAACCATTGAATTGTGTGATCATTGCTCATTGCAGTATGAGAAGCTTTCTAATTAGCTTTTTTTCAATTTTCCAAACAGATTGAAACAGTCCACACCCATAAACCTTCTTGTAATACACGAAGCATTAGACAGCACAGATAGGTGCTGAATGCAGCAGCTGTAGAACGATTGCATTTACGGTCGTCTTCAGTACAGCTGCCGACAGATTAAAGGAACTGAAACTTTTGCAGGAAAAACAAAAGGAGCGGAAAGTAGGAGGGACGACGTGGTAAATGTCTGAGGCGAGAGCCAATACATTCGTGTCGCACTGGTGCAGCGGAGCCTGTTTTCCAAATACTGTTTATCGTCTAGACGCAACATTTCACCTTGCAAAAACCGCACAGCAAGAAACAAAGAACAACTCGAAGCTAAACCTTTTTTCAAGTCGCCCTGATTCTGGCCTTCCTGCTGAAATTCATCCAGAATGTTGGGTCCACTTTTGCCTTTGCCCTTTTTGCGCTTTAGTGCACTAAGCATTGCATTTCGTTCCTTGTTCCGAATTTTCACTAATTCCGCTACTGCCACCATTTTACCTTTGCCGGAATTGTACATAAATTCCTTCAGCTGCAAAACTAACAATAACTGCGTTGCTCTAGTCCTATCCCATGGCAGTGACCATTTATATACTTCTGCGGTGTGGCCAGATGTGGCCAACACGATTCCAGTTACACAGGATAAGTTGAAAAAGGTAAGTTGAAAAAGACAAGTTGGAAAAGTTAGGTAAGTTGAAAT